GGGAGTGCGGCAAATGTCCTCACCTGGGATGCCTTCTTGGGTCTAAAAATCCCTCAAGAAAGGTTGAAGGTGGTGACTACCCCCCTACAAGGCTTTGGAGGGGCAACAGTGATACCGGAAGGGACTGTAGAGCTTTCAGTCACTCTTGGGACATACCCAGCGACAGTGGTGATCGTGACTAATTTCTTGATTGTCAAGACCCCCATGGCTTACAACGCTATCTACGGCCGACCATTGCTAAATGCAGCTGGCGCGGTCCCATCGACATACCATCAAATTATGAAGTTCCCAACCAGCAGGGGGATCGAGAGCGTGCGAGGAGATCAGCATGCATCAAGAAAGTGCTATGTGGACAGTATACAAGCCAAAAGCCCACCATCAGTTATGATGCTGGATGTAGAACTCCCGAGGGAGCGGATCGAGCCACTTGATATGATTGAAAAAATCTTTATTGACGAAGGAAAGGAGTTTCTTGTTGGAATAGGTCTGGGATCCGAAGAGAAGGAAAAATTGGCGAAGTGTCTAGCCGAAAATTTGGATGTCTTCGCTTGGAACCCAAATGATATCCCGGGGATTAGCTCAACTGTTGCGCAACACCGCCTCGGTGTCCAGACAGGGGCTAAGCCAGTGAAGCAGAAAAAGAGAAACCTTGCCCCTGAGAGGCAGGCTGCGGCCAAAGCAGAGGTGGAAAAATTGCTACAGGCGGGCTTCATCCGAGAGGTCCAATACCCCGAGTGGTTGGCAAATGTTGTACTTGTGAAGAAGTCAAATGGAAAATGGCGCATGTGTGTAGACTATACTGGGTTGAACAAGGTATACCCAAAAGACTCATACCCACTCCCCAGAATAGATCAACTGGTGGACGCAACGTCGGGTCATGAAAGGCTCAGCTTTCTAGATGCGTTTTCGGGGTATCATCAAATTTCAATGGCCGAGGCCGATCAAGAGAAGACGTCATTTATCACGGATTTCGGCACGTATTGTTATACAGCCATGCCATTTGGCTTGAAAAACGCAGGAGCGACGTATCAGAGGATGGTGAACAAAGTCTTTCGTGGGCTAATCGGGGATGTCGTAGAAGTCTATGTTGACGATATGGTGGTCAAGAGTGCCAGAGCCAATGACCATGTGGCCTGTTTACAAAAAGTGTTTGACGTTGCCCGACAAAGCAGATTAAGGTTCAATCCAGAGAAGTGTGTTTTTGGTACCGCAGGTGGAAAATTTCTAGGTTTCATGATCACGCAAAGGGGCATCGAAGTGAACCCGGACAAAATTCGGGCAATCCTAGAAATGAAAAGCCCCACCAGCAGGAAGGAGGTTCAGAGGCTGACGGGGCGGGTAGCAGCCTTAAATCGTTTCATGAGCCGGGCGGCGGACAAATGCTACCACTTCTTCAAAGCCATAGGGGGCTCTTCCAATTTTGAGTGGACCCAGGAATGCGAAGAGTCTCTTAGGAACTTGAAGCAGTCATTACAAGAGCCCCCGATCTTGACCAGCCCATCTCCTGGGGACGTGTTGTGTCTCTACTTGGCAGTATCACCAAAGGCAGTCAGTGCGGTCCTGGTGAAAGAGTTCTCAAAGGCGCAGAAACCAGTCTACTACGTGAGCCAAGTATTGAGGGGTGCAGAAATAAGATACAGCCTGACTGAACAGCTGGTGTTTGCATTAATTGTCGCGGTCAGGAAATTGAGGCCTTATTTTCAGTCTCACACGGTGCAAGTAATGACTGACCAACCTATCAAGCAGATTCTGCATCTGCCCGAGACCTTTGGGAGGCTGTTAAAATGGGCCATCGAGTTAAGCGAGTTTGATATCGAATTCAGGCCAAGGACAGCTATTAAGGCACAGGCTTTAGCAGACTTCATCGTTGAGCTCACCACCCCGCCCGAGCTCCCACCAGGGGAGCAGGCAGATTGGAAAATTTTTGTCGATGGATCTTCAAATGACGAAGGATCCGGGGCGGGGATCATAATGATAGGTCCGAATGAAGAAGAGTTGGAATACTCACTGCACTTTGAATTCCCAGCAACAAATAACGAGGCCGAGTACGAAGCGGTGATCACGGGTTTGGGATTGGCAGCCAGACTCGGGGTCACCTCAGTGGAAGTTTGCAGTGACTCTCAGTTGATAATCGGGCAAGTGACGGGGGAATTCGAAGCAAAGGACGGAAAGATGGCTGCATATTTAATGGAGGTCAAAAACTTGCAGAGGGGGTTCACCAAGTTTAAGATAACTAAGATCCCTCGAAAGGACAATGAGCGAGCGGACGCGCTGGCTAAGCTCGCATCAGCCAACCCCAGACAACTGCCTCGCACAGCCAGTGTGCAAATTCTACGACAACCTAGCATCCAACATGTAATCGATGTTATGAATGTAGAAAATGAGGAAAGTTGGATAGACCCGCTGTTTGAGTATCTCACGAAGAATAAATTGCCGGAGGATGCTCTCACGGCCAGAAAGCTAAAAGTTCGTGCAGCCTCGTTTGCCATCATTGATGGGCAACTCTACAAGCGAGGCTTCACAATGCCATATTTGAAGTGTTTGCGACCGACAGAAGCACAGGAGGTGCTAGTCGAAGTACATGCGGGGATTTGTGGCAACCACCAAGGGGCGACTACCCTTGCGTTCAAAACGTTTCGACAAGGATATTATTGGCCCAGTATTAAGGAAGATGCTAGAGAGTTGGTGAGGAAATGCGATGCATGCCAACGCCATGGAAATCTGATCCACATTCCGGCCGAGCAACAGACGGCAGTTTTCGGGGTGTGTCCCTTCTTCCAATGGGGGATGGACATCTTGGGACCTTTGCCCATGTCAAAAGGACAGAGGAAGTTCTTGTTAGTTGCCGTCGACTACTTTACTAAGTGGGTGGAAGCTGAGCCTTTGGCCACCATCACGACTGCAAAGATACAGGGATTCGTCTGGAAAAATATCATATGCAGGTTTGGTATACCTCGGGTAATCATTACAGATAATGGAAAACAATTCGATAATCACAGTTTCAGAGCCTTCTGCACCAGCTACCGCATCGATCACGGGCTGACTTCAGTTGCTCACCCGCAGGCAAATGGGCAAGCGGAAGTGACCAACCGAACCATACTGTGGGATTTGAAGACAAGATTAGAAAAAGAAAAAGGACTTTGGGCTGAGGAGTTGCCCAATGTACTGTGGGCATATCACACTACCCCCCGAGAGTCGATCGGGGAGACGCCATTCAAACTGGCCTTTGGGATGGAAGCCGTGGTTCCGGTTGAGATCTTAAGCGAGACAGGAAGGATGAAAGTCAAGCAACCCGATGACGCAGCTACTAGGGGAGAGCTCGACCTCCTCGAAGGGGTAAGGGACAAGGCGGCGATAAGAATGATGGCTTATAAACGAAGAGCCGCTGAGTACTTCAACCGGAGAGTGAAGCCAAGGGTCTTCCAGCCAGGAGATCTCGTTCTAAGAGATGCAGCAGCGGCACGACACCCCCCACCGAAGCTTGGTCCAAACTGGGAAGGCCCGTACGAAGTGATTCGCAGGCTGGGAAAGGGAGCTTACAGCTTGAAAGATATAAAAGGAAGGCCGCTAGGTAGACCATGGAATGCAGAACACCTCAAAAAGTATTACCAGTAGAACTCAAAATGTACTCGCCGGCTGCGCTTTTGTAAATATAGTAGATTAGGTTGCATTGCTTATTTTCTCTATGTAATGCCTCACAAAGGCACCCTTAGTTGTAACAATTTATCTTATTCAATGAAAGACCTTGGCGGTGACGGATGATGAGGGCGCTACGGAAGGGCCAGCCTAGCTGGGACGTCCCGGTGCGCCTACTGAGCTCACAAGACCAGGAATTTTTTATGCCAACCGGCAACTTTGAACTCCACGCTCACCCCCTATGGTCGACACAGCCTACGCGGCTAGGTGGAGAGCCTTGGAAAGTCAAAAAATTGGCTAAGGCCCTTAACCACCAAATCACCCCCTGCGGTCGACATAGCCCACGCGGCTAGGTGGAGAGCATTGGAAAGTCAAAAAATTGGCTAAGGCCCTTAACCACCAAATCACCCTCTGCGGTCGACATAGCCTACGCGGCTAGGTGGAGAGCCTTGAAAAGTCAAAAAATTGGCTAAGGCCCTTAACCACCAAATCACCCTCTGCGGTCGACATAGCCCACGCGGCTAGGTAGAGAACCATGGAAAGTCAAAAAATTGGCTAAGGCCCTTAACTACCAAATCACCCCCTGTGGTCGACATAGCCCACGTGGCTAGGTGGAGAGCCTTGGAAAGTCAAAAAATTGGCTAAGGCCCTTAACTACCAAATCACCCCCTGCAGTCGACATAGCCTGCGCGGCTAGGTGGAGAGCCTTGAAAAGTCAAAAAATTGGCCAAGGCCCTTAACCACCAAATCACCCCCTGCGGTCGACATAACCTACGCGGTTAGGTGGAGAGTCTTGGAAAGTCAAAAAATTGGCTAAGGCTCTTAACCACCAAATCACTCCCTGCAGTCGACATAGCCTACGCGGCTAGGTAGAGAGCCTTGAAAAGTCAAAAAATTGGCTAAAGCCCTTAACCACCAAATCACCCCCTGCAGTCGACATAGCATACGCGACTAGATGGAGAGCCTTGGAAAATATATACATATATATATGAACACTCCCCCGCACCATCAAGCAATAAAAAGAAAAATAACATGAGAGACGACATTTTAAAAGAACCACGCATCCAGTGCCAATAATATCAAATGAAAGATGTGTTTATACATTCGAAGAATTCTTGCCCACATCCCGAGCAAGTAGGAGATAACAAGGCTAAGCAAAAGTAAACACTAAAAAGGAAAAACTAGCAAGGAAAACAACAACTAAGTAATGCTTCAGCTCGAAGGGGAGACATCCCCACTACCCCCTTGTGATGAACGACCAAGTGATCTGGATGACTGAGCTACGCTCTCCTTCCCCTTGCGCTGTACGAGAAATCTATCCAAGCCGGAGGGGTCTATAGAAGGATGTTCGGCTGTAATCCACTCCTTGGAGAGCTTAATTGATGCAGACATCGCCTTCCCACCGTATGAGTTCAAAGCCTTAGCATAATCGGACGATGTCTTATACTGATCCACAGCCGCCTTGAGATCTCCAGCGTACTCACC